GCTTTGGGGTGCCCTGGAGGGGTCAGGATGAGGTGTGCAGCTCTCAAGGGGCCCCGCTCATGACCCCACAGTGCAACACAACGTGTGGCCGGGGTGTGAAGAAGAGGATCGTGCTCTGCCTGGAGATTGTCAATGGCAAGATCAAGACCCGCAGCCCCTCTGACTGTGACGTGGCCAAGAAGCCTGTGGAGGAGAGCACGTGCTTCGAGAGGCCCTGCTTCAAGTGGTACACCACCCCCTGGTCTGAGGTGAGCAGGGAGGGGTCCCCAGGGCTGTGCTGCCCCATCCCTTTGCACCAAGGGTCCCTCTGCCTGCAGAACTCCCAGGAGATGGGTGAGTCCCTGCAGGATGTGGTCCCTGAGGGTGTTTTTGCTGCATGGTGCAGCTGGGGCTGTCTGTGCTCAGGGAGGACAGGATTGAGAGGAGCTGTTTGAGGCCAGATGTAGCTTTATTTTTTCTTTATTTTTTTCCCTCATGCCTGGAAGTGTAGATTGGAGCCCACAGGGTGGCTGGCCTGGGGATGCAGAATTTGGGGATGCTCCATCACCCTGCACAACCCAAAAGGCAGCCAGGCTCCAGTGGGCTTCCTGCAAGCCCTCCTGGATGCAACCTCCCTGATCTGAGCTCCAAGAGCCTCATTTTTAGTCTTGCAAACCCTATAATTAACCAAAACAGCCCTGCTGTAATCCCAGCTCCATGAGGCATCCAAAGGGCAGCAGGCAGTGAGTGCTGGACGCAGCAGTGGCTCCACATCCTCCATGGATGCAGAGAGACCCCACAACCCAGCTCCTGGTGCTCTGGGGGATTCCATGGCCACCCATGTCCTACAGAGCATCACCTGCACAGGGCCAGCTGGTTTGTGACCCCTTGTGAAGGGCAGCAGGAGGAAGGAGGGTGTCAGAGCCAGGGGATGGGACCACATCCACCTACCCTGGGCAGAAGCTGATGGTGCTGGCAGCAAAGACAGAGCGAGAGGACAGCGGTGTGGCACTGGGATGTGACACTCTCCGCCTGCCCTAACATCTCCAGTGAGCAGGTTCTGGCTCAGAACAGTCCCCTGGCATGGCAGGATCTTGCCTCACCCTTTCTCTCTGTCCCCCAGTGCACAAAAACCTGCGGGATTGGCGTGAGGATGCGGGATGTGAAGTGCTACCAGGGCAAGGACATCGTGCGGGGCTGCGACCCGCTGGTGAAGCCGGTGGGCAAACAGACCTGTGACCTGCAGCCCTGCCCCACAGAGCCCCCAGGTGAGCCCCACAGCCTTGGTTTGCCATGATCCCTCCAGCAGCACTGCCCCATTTGGATAATGATCCCAGGGAGGATGTCAGGGACAGCTCTCCCTCTGTGCCCAAGCAATGCACAGGCTCCTTCTGGAGATAAATTAAGAGGAGAGCTCAGAAGAATCATGCTCTGACCTGAAGATAAAAGGGGCCTTTGGAGAACTGATTTGGGTGCTGCTTCTGTAAGATTCCAGCTACAGCTGAGGAAGTTCTGTCTGTGCCATTATTTTAATGATTTTTGGTCTTCGGGTGTCCTGTGGGATTTGTAACTATCTCGTTATCTGGCTCGTCTGCTGGCTCAGAGTCCCTGTGATCTTTAGCAAACACACAGTTCTAATCCTTTAATAGGATTTGGGAATAAGGACAGTGTGGGAGAAAAGCATGAAAATGGGTGACAGATTTGGGGCCAGCTCCTGGCTCAGCTCTGGGTGCTCTCAGCTGCCCACTCCCTTGGGATCCATGGAGCTTGGGAGCTGCCTCGTGGCCACCTTGCCCTGAGAGCAATCTGGTTTCATGCATCCTATGGATTTGAAGCAAAAAATATATATATAAAAGTATAAATCCTATGGGTTTGAAGCAAAATATTGCATGGAAAGGAGTTGGGAGAGTGCTGAAGCAGCCTCATCCCTTTCTCCAACATCTCACTTGTCCCTAACTCTGGATGTGGCACTGCTGGATTCCCATTCCCTTTCTCAAATAGCTTCCTTGGGATAGAAATTGTGAATTTCAGGGGAAGCCCTTGATTTGGGGACAACTCAGTGCCTTGGTGGCTCCAGCAGTCTCTGGGCAGCTCTGTTTTACAGCAGAGACATTGAGCTTCAGGGCTGGGACCAAGTGAGACTCCCCAAGCCTGGCCAGGTGTGAAGGAACAGATCAACCTGCTCATGCCTTTGCCCAGGTTGACATTTCTGGAGAAGCTCCATAGTGCTTTCCAGGGGATGTCAGGGAGGTGGAAGCCACAGCTGGGCTGATGTTGTTGCTCATCCCGTGGTGTTTAGAGCTGTAGAGGGTGGGAAATGACCTCATGAGCTCACAATTGTTTATTTTCTTTTACTTTTCCATGCCATGCCTTGAGACGTGGCACCCTGGGACACAGGGTACCAGCCTGTTCACACCTGCCAGCAGCCACGAGACAGTGGCACCAAAACTGGCACAAATAAAGCTCCAACAACATTTTAGTTTGAGTTAGGAACAGCAGGAGAGACATAAATTAAGGGAGAAATCCTACCCTGACCACCTACTCTCCAAGTGCCTTAACAAAGGTTAAACCAAAACCCAGCCACCCCAGCCCCAAATTACTTCAGCACCTGAGGGAAATCAACTGTATCTGTCAGGGATTTAACCTGTGACCCCTGGGCCATATTTCCAGGCACTTCATGTCCTGCTAAAGTGTATTTTCTCTCCCTGCAGATGACAGCTGCCAGGATCAGGCAGGAACCAACTGTGCCTTGGCCATCAAGGTGAACCTGTGCAGCCACTGGTACTACAGCAAAGCCTGCTGCCGCTCCTGCCGTGCCCCCCACTCCTAGGGCAGGGCTGCCTGAGCCAGGGCTCTTCCTTCCCCTGCCCTCACAGCCCAGACACTGCTGACAAGGATGCTCTTGGCCTGGTTTGTGTGTCTCCACTGAGGCAGGACTCTTCTCCAGGCTGCTGGACGTTGGGAGCCCCCCGGGGTCAGAGCTGTACAGAAATCTTGTATATTTGATTCCCCCCCCCAAAATCCAGCTACACCCAAGGTCCTGTCCTGTTTCTTCCCTCGGTGCAAGGTTGGGGTTGGCAAGGGGAAGGTGTGAACTCTGGGAAGTGCAAGTTTCCCTTCCCAAAATGGGCTTGGTGGTGCCTCTCTCCTGATTTATTCTGAGGCTCTCCTTAGCTGAATTAACATGGTGGGAAGCTGTTTGTTAAATAAACTCAAGCCCTTTTTTGTAATATGTAGGTGTATACTTTTTCAGAGAATTTTATCTTATAATCAAATGTTAGTTTCATAGTCCTCACAACCCCTCCCTGATGCTGACATATTGTATATAATATGGAAACATAACTGCACTTTATATCACAAAAAAGACGTGCTCTTTTTTAATATATTTGTTTACAGACAGTGAACTTTATCCGTATAATCATTAATTTGTACTCATATGTATATTTTAATAAAGTTGTCATATTTATGGTGGTATTTTGTTTTATTCTCCAGTTTGTAGTGGAGTGCTGGGAACAGTGGAACTGGGGCTGGGGATTTGCTGCTGCTCAGGGGAGGCAGAGCAGCTTTAAATCAGGAGAATCACAGCTACTTGGACAGTGATGGAAGGAGAAGTCCCAACAGTGGGGGGATTTTGGGACTTTTGGGGGCCCTTTGGGGTTCTGTGGCTTTAGAAGCTGCAGCCCTGAAGCTCCTCAGGGGTTTGGGAACGGAGAGATTCCACATGGTGCCAGTAAGAAAAGGGCCTTTCTGAGCTCCCAAGGGGTTATTGCTCTGTGTTTTTACTGTGTGACCCCCCCCAGACACTGAGCCAAAGGCTCTTTAGCATCCCCCAAACTTCTGTGTGCACCCCAAGTGCTGCTGCAACCCTCCCTCAGCAGCAGGGAGCCCCTGAGTGCTCTGCAAACATCACCCCAAATCTGCAGATGCAGGGGCAAAAAAAAAAAGAAAACAAACAACAAACCTCAAAACCCATGTCAAAGTAATTTATTTCTTTTTTTTTTTTTTTCTTTTTTGACTTTTTCCCTCCCCAAAATCTGAGATTCCCAAAGTCCTGTACAAGAGATCACCAGGTGAGGGTTAGTGAAAGCCAACCATTTGCTGAATTTCCAAGCTACAAGGGAAAGAAACGAGGAAAAAAAGGAGGAAAGGAAGGCTGGTAGGAGAAATCACAAAAAACAGGAAGAGAAGGGCTCAAGGCATGGGAACAAACCCCAGTGAGAACTGTACATGGGGGCATGGCCTGAGTGGCTGCATCCCTCTGGGATGTGCTGGGCCACAGGGACCGAGCCCGGAATATTAAACATGTAGGAAACCAACCCCAGCCCTCCCCACCCCAAACAGAACCCCCCCAGAAAGTCAAAGATACTCATTTGCAAAGACTGACTTGTACTTCAAAAGGTTTCCTGTGGAATTAAAAGCCCTCAGTGGTTTGAAGTAAAATACCCAGCCAGGCTGCAGAGTGTCTGTGAGCCCCGGGGGCTGCAGCCATGGCTGCTTCTTCCCAGAACATCTTTAAAAAGGAAAATTTCCCTGGAGCACAGCCCTGAGGCCATCTGAGTCTCTGTGCAGCCAGTCCATCCTTGCCAGCCATCCCCAGGTGATGCTTTTAACCTGAATAATGCCCAGTCCAGGAGAAACAGGGAGCTCTGTCACATGGAGGGGAGGAATGGAGACAGCCAGGAGAAACCAGAGCAGGAGGCCCCTCAGAGCTGCAATTCCTCTCCTAAATCTCTGAGTAAACCCAAGGGCTCCCTTGCAGCACATTTGGTGCAGAGGGACCAGCTCTGAGCCTGCTGCTGCCCCAGGCTGTCCCTGCTGCATCCAGATGGGACAGAGCTGGTGCCACAGCCAGGCTGGCCAGCCATGGCAAATGGCTCAATGGAAAATGCAAATTAGAGGATTTGATTCAATTTAAAAATGTTTTGACAACTGTCCTGGATGGCGGGAAAGTGTCTTTTTTAAAATTTTTCTTAAAAAACCTCTCCCAAACAAGTAAACGTGTAAAAATGTGCATGCAAGGGGTGGGCACATGCACAATGACCCTGTGCCATGGAGCCCTCAGCCAGAAGTTGTGTGTGGCATCACTTGGAGCAGGGATGTAGATTATCCACAGGGATATTCCTCCATCCCAAGGTGTGCTGTGTGTCATTTCCATCACTGAGTAATGCAGAGGTTTTACATCCCCAGCCCAGCTCCTTCAGGGCGTCCTTGAGGCCACCCTGGGGGGCTCCAGGGACAGGCCCAGCCGCCATCCTAACCCTGAGGGGACTGTGCCTGGCACCTGGGATTGTGCCTGGCACCCGGGATTAATGCCTGGCACCTGGGACTAATGCCTGGCTGGGGCAGTGGGATGGGCTGGGGATGGCGCAGGGCTCACAGCCACAGCCATCCCCATGGATGCAGCAGGGAGCAGCACAGCACAGGCTGGCAGAAGGGTGGGCAGTGACATTTTGGGGTGGCTGAGTGTATCCTGGGGCTCCCAGGTCCTGCCAGCAGCTGCTGCTGACCTGCAGCACGTTTTCAGCCGTTTTCAGCCACCCATGAGCCCCATCATCCGCTCATCACCCCTGGCCAAACGGTGAGGAGGGGCAACTCCTCCATAGAAAAGGATGCTCAATATCAAAATCCTCTTTATAAAAGAAAAAAGCAAACTCTGCAGAGCTGGGAAACCTCTCATTCCAGCTGCACTCCCACACTCCTCACTTGAGTTTGCTCTGCTCCCCCTTTATACCGCCAGCCCGAAATACATTCACTTGCTTTTTCACTTCATATTTTTTTGTTTTCTTTTGTTTTTCCCCTATTCAAAACTCTTCCACGGACTCCAACCAGTCCTCCCCGCTGCTGTCCAAAGCCCTCGGGGCTGGGTGGGCGGGTGGCACCTCACACATCGGTGCTGATGCTGCGGCTGCGGGAGAACGCCTCCCGCATGGCCGAGAGCCGGTTGGGGTTGAGCGCCTGCAGGTTGGACACGGGCAGCGCCAGATCCTCCTGGCTCACCGTCTTGTAGCTCACCCTGTCCCCCCCGTTGTGCAGATCCTCGGGGGGCTCCTGCAGGAAGAAGGTGGGGGGCTCCTGCAGGAAGGAGCTGGGGGGCTCCTGGAGGAAAGATGCAGTGGGCTCCTGGAGGAAAGATGTGGTGGGCTCTTGGAGGAAGGAGGTTGGGGTTTCTTGGAGGAAGGAGGTTGGGGGCTCTTGGAGGAAGGATGTGGGGGTCTCCTGGAGGAAGGAGGTGGGGGGTTCTTGGAGGAAGGAGGTTGGGGGCTCGTAGGGAGTGCAGCTGGGGCAGCTGGGCCGGCTCTGGGCTTGTTTTTTGGCGAAGGGGGATGAGGAGTAGAGCGAGGGGCCGTTGGTCAGCACTACGTTGCGGTTGCAGTGCAGCGGAGGGATGTGCGAGTGCACGGCGAAGTCGGGCTCCTCCTCGTCCTCCTCGGATTCATCCTTCTTGCAGCAGTAGTACTGAAACGGGAGGGGCTCAGATGGCACCCCCAAAGCTGCCACACCATCAGCCCTCCCCTCTGAGGTACCCCCAAGCCTTACCTGGAGCCTACAGTAGCAGAGGACGGCGATGATACAGAGTAAAATGACAGTCGCTAAAATTCCACCTGTGATGACCACGGTCCCGGCTGTCATCCGCCCTCTTCTCCATTAACAGCCTGCAAAATTGGGTATACAGGTAAGGGGCTGGGCTGCAGAACCCCAAACTCTCTGTTTGCCCCACTTTGAAGTGGGTTAAAAAGCAGGAGGGCTCTGAAGGGCACAATCAAGATCCACTGGGTACCCATGGGAAGTCACCAAGGAGTCCCCAAAAATGCCACCTTGTAAGGGTTAAAAAAACTTCATGCTGAGTGAGAAGCAGCTCTGGGGTCACATCAGGAGGGAGAGCCAAGGGAAATAACACCAGGCACCAAGGGCACTCTCCCAGCTCCTACCTGGTGGCAGAAAGCTCCAGTGATGGGAGAAGGAGCCTTGCCATAAGGATTTCTGATCTGCACTCATTTTTCTCTGAGCCTCTAATCCATTTTCCCCATGAAAACAATGTGGTATTTGAATTTGGAATAACCTCAGCTGCTAAGTGAGCCTTTAATGACTGCAGGGAGCGGGGTGCTGCCCTCCATGAGAGCAGGACCTTTCTGAGGCACCAGGATCCTCTACTTCACCACAGCCAAGCCACAGTCTTGGGGGGCTCTGGGGGCACCCCTGGATGATGTTTGACAGCCCCAGGTGAGCTGTCAGTGGACATCACAGAGATGCTGTGGCTCAGCATCATTTTGGGGTACCACTAGCACTCTTTTCTCCCTGGAATGCTCCTTGGGAGTTGGGACAGCACAGGGAGCAGCAGAAGGTCCCTGTCCCTGTCCCTGGGCTCTCCAGATGTTGTGTACCATGCACAGCACAAGCCCTGCAGGATCAGACACAGATTTTGCCCCAGGAAGGATGCTGGGGAGACAGGGTACCAGCCTGCTCACACCTGCCAGCAGCCACGAGACAGTGGCACCAAAACTGGCACAAATAAAGCTCCAGCAACATTTTAGTTTGGGTTAGGAACAGCAGGAGAGACATAAATTAAGGGAGAAATCCTACCCTGACCACCTACTCTCCAAGTGCTTTAACAAAGCTGGCTCCCAGCTCGTGCTATCAGGTTAAACCAAAAACCAGCCACCCCAGCCCCAAATTACTTCAGCACCCGAGGAAAAGCAACTGTATCTGTCAGGGATTTCAGCTGCTTCCAAAGCAAACAAACCTGGGCCATATTTTCAGGCACTTAATGTCCTGCTAAAGTTGGGTGAGTGCTGAATGGATAAAGCAGCATCATGTTTTTATGGCGCTGCTGAGCAGCTCGGGAGGAGGGAAGGGAATTCACACCCCATGGCCATGGGGCAAGAGCAGGGCCAAATCCTGCCCTCCTTCCTGGGGGAAAATGCTCTGAGGAGGCTCAGGGGGAGCAGCACAGCCACGGGAAGGGTTTGCAAATGATGCATCAGTGATTTAGAAACTGGTTTGAAGAGGGATGGAGGTGCCTGGCTGGGCCAGGTGCCAGCTGGAAATGCCCATCCCTGGGCCCTTTGCTGCTCCCATTTGCAATCCCCTGAAGCCAAGGGCAGGGGGAGCAGGGCTAGGACAGGAACCTGGCTCTGGGGTGGCCACTCAACCCTGCAGGACCTGGAGGATGGGAGCTGCACCCATCACAGAGCATCAGCATCTCCCTGCTGGCCTGAGATGGGAGATGGCAGGCAGAGCTCTGCCAGGGAGGGCTCTCTGGCTCTTCCACCCATTAATTAAAGCCCCAGGGCACAAGCCAGGGCTGCAGGAGCCGATTTCCCTGGTTCCTGTCCAGCCGAGCCCAGCCAGACGAGCCCAGCCAGACGTGGCATCGCAGCCACTGCTCCCTCCCGAGCTGGACCATTTGCATTTCTGCCTTTTCCCCTCCCCAAACATACTTCTCTGATTAAAGCTGCATACCTGGAAGCTTTAAACCCTCCAGCGTGCAAAGGGGGAGGAAAGCAGAGCATGTGGAGGCCCATAAGCTGAACAATTCCTGTCTAGACCTCCTTTTTACATTTGTTCCTAATTTCATGCTCCACAGGCTCCCAGATTCATATATTTAGCAATAAATATGCTGGTAAAAGGAAGTGCTTTGCAGCTCTGCTGTGGTCTTGGAGAAGGTATGCAGGAGCCCAGGCAGGGAGACTCAGTCCCAGGAGAGCTCTGCTCCTTCCCTCAGCTTTAGGAGCCCTCCAGCTCCCAAGGATGCCTGAACCCATCCAAACTCAGCCCCAGATCATCATCCATCCCTGGCAGACAGCAAGAAGGGGCTGCAGGGGGGTGTAACCCCACACAGGCTGTTTGGCCCCAGCGCAGCAGCCCTTTGCTGCAGGAAAAACAAATTCACAGTTCCCAGATTGTGAAGGTGCAGGTCCTGCAGGAGCTGTTTGGTTTTAGACACAGCCCTGTGCTACCTGCCTGATTTACACATCCCTGCCACAGATGAGGATGTGGATTTTGAGGCTGAGCTGTTCACTAAGGGCTGGATCTGCCTTACCCTCTGATGTGTTAAAAAAAAAAAAAAAAGACTGGTCATGGCACTTGGTGCTAGAGTCTGCTTGAGGTGTTAGGGCATAGGTTGGACTGGATGATCTTAGAGGTCTCTTCCAACCTCATTATTCTGTGATTCTGTGATTCTGTGATTCTGTGAGTCTGTGATTCTGTAATTCTGGGATTCTGTGATTCTGTGAGTCTGTGATTCTGGAATTCTGTGATTCTGTGAGTCTGGGATTCTGTGATTCTGTAATTCTGGGATTCTGTGATTCTGTGAGTCTGTGATTCCTGCCTTCCCTTGGGCACTGCCACAAGGAGCTGCCCAACCCAGGGGCTGAGGGAAGCTCCTCCTGAGCAACACTGAATGGGAGAGGAAGGGTTGGGGTGAGAAATCATCCTCTTTCCACCTCCCCAGCACCTTGAACACGGCCCCAGGACCACCAGGGGTGCCCAGTGTGGGGAGAGGCTGCTCACAGCTGTGCCTGGCTCTGTGCAGCCTCTGGGGAGGGCTGCGTGGGAGGAAGGCTTCCGAGCAGCTGGGGGGGCTGAGCTCAGCCCAAACCAAGGCTCCAGCAAATACCTGGCTCTGGAAAGCTGAGCTCCAGGTCCAGAGGCTCGTGTGGACTGGCCTGGGGGTGAAGGAGACCTGGGGATGGAAAAGGAAACTGCTCCCATGTTCCTCTGAGCACCCAGTTATGCCGACTTGTAGAGATTAAGAATAATCTTGTGGACAATTAAATAAATGAGGCTTTCAGCTGTCCCATCTCACCCCAAGTCCCATCTGCAGGGTAACAAAGTCACTCCAAAGAGTTTTGCACCAGCTGGAAGTGCTGCCATGGCAAGTGGTTAAAGAAAGGGAATGCTGGTTCTACTGAAGCTGTGCCTGCACAAGGAGATTGTGTTTTACATGCAAAGAGCTGGATCCCAAAGCTTGTCCCTCTGCACTGCCACTGCATCCCCCAGCAACACTGGGAGCCAGAGGCAGCACAGCTTTGAAACTTGGGAATTGGCCTCATTCACCTGCCTCCAGGAGCTGGAGATTCAGACAAAACAGCCAGACTGGGCACAAAATGCCAGCTGGCAGCACAGACAGGAGTGCTGGCAGGATTGATCCTGCCCAGTGCCCAGCAGGCAGAAACACCCCCTGCTCCAGAGAGCTGAGCCCCCACCTTGATGAGCACACAGAACACACAGGGACAAACACAGAACCTCCCCTGCTCCAGAGACACTCAGCTCAATCCCTGGCGTGAGACCCTGCCCCTGGCTCACAGATTGTGCAGGGGAGCTGGGCTCAGCTCTGCCTTGTGCTTCCAAGCAGCCAAGAGAGAGAGAAAACAGCCATGGAGAAAGGAAAGGAGAAAAACAAGGAAAACAGCCATCCCAGCCTCGGCAGGGAGCAGGGCAGGCCAGCACCGTGTCCTGGAGTGACACCACCCTGCCTGTCCTGGCTCTGCTGTGCACGAGCACATCCCTGGCTCTGCTCTGCGCTTGGACAAGCTGTTTGTGCACCGAGGGCCTGGGTGTCCTCCAGCACCAGGGAAGGGCCTCTGAGGGGGGACTGAGCCCAGCACAACCTCCAGGCTGACCCTCATCCAGGCAGCTCACTGGCAAAGATCCAGGGGAAGGACCTCAATGAGGGGGTGATGAGGCTGGGGAGATTTAAGTTCTGTGTGGAAAGTGGGTGTTGAGCAGCTGTGTGAGGGCAGATGAGCCTGAGCCTGTGTGCTGCAGGGAGAGCCCTGGTTGGGCAATGCAGCCACTTCCCAGCTCATCCACCTGCCACCAATGCTGACACTGACACTGCTGGTGAGGCCCTGCCTCAGGAGGAAGAAAAAGAGCTCAGTATGATGCCAGGGGAAAATGTGAGCAATGCTGGCTGCCCCAGATGTCACTGGGCCTTGCTGCTTTCTGTCCCAGAGTTGGATGCAGACAGCATTCAGGATCTTTAATCACAAGAAGAAATCCCACTGCAGTAAACTGTCCAGGGCAGAGCAGACTAGATCCGAGCCCTTGATGCTGTAAATTCAGGATAAGCCTGGTTTACACTCCTCTGTGCTCACCCTGGAGCTCTGTAAGTGCCACAAAGGCAAACACCCAGAGAGCATCGGTGTGAAGGAGCTGCCACCAGCCTGGGAGGGGGGAAAGCAGCAAATAAACCATGAGCCAGCACCAGTTTGGTGGCAAATCCAGCCTTCCTCGTGCATTTCCCCAGTTCCTGTAATCCTACCCAGTCAATGAATGAGAGCTGGGCTCTGGGAGCAGCCAGGCAAGGTGCCAGCAGGAGCCTTTGCATCAGTAGAGCCAGAGGGCAGGGCAGCTGCCAGAAACACAGGCAGGAACAGAACGTGGCTTTCCAGATGAAAAACACATCAACCAGAGGGCCTGCACCAGTCCTGTGTGCTCCCTGTCCCCTCCTGAGGGCAACATTCCTGGCCTGGGACAGCATTCCTGGCCTGGGACAGCATTCCTGGCCTGGGGACACCATTCCTGGCCTGGGACACCATTCTTGGCCTGGGGACAGCATTCCTGGCCTGGGGACACCATTCTTGGCCTGGGGACAGCATTCCTGCTCTGGGGAACCATTCCTGGCCTGGGGACACCTTCCTGGCCTGGGGAC